TCGTGGCATCGTCTCGGTACTGAGCAAAAATCCAAAGGCGGAATTCTGTTAAATGCAACAAGCCTTCACTGAGCATCTGAAGAAGTGCAGCTCCGTGAGTGAGGAGAGATACAAAAAATGGCAAAGCAGCCCTCCAGCCCCACTCTGAAAGGCCAGGCACACCTTGGTCTCGGCCTCGGCCGCCATCATTAGCTGGCGAGCTGCAGAGCCATCCGGGCTACTGTGAAAGGGGCCACTCCACCTCCATCCCACCAGATAATGCACAGCTGGTCTCAGGTGCAGTGCTTCTCGGCCTTGAATTACAGATTCAAAACCGTAAAATAGAAAAAAGAGCTGGCTGACTGAAGGCAGAGTAATCCACCAAAAATTATTACCCCAGCTTGTATTTCTGGCCCCGCTGCTCTGGCATTGCCAGGTTCCCAAAGCTGGCCATCGTATCTTATTCTGTTGTGAGGCGTGTGTTCAGACTGTGGATTGATCTACACCATGGCCTGTCACACAGCTCCTCACCCCTGCCCCTGCATCATGACACAAAGTAGGCCTCTTCTCCATGAAGCTGAAAATACATGTGTGAATGTGTTTCTGAATGTGTATATAATGTGTGTATATACATAATTGTGCATATGAATTTATGTGTGTATGTGTGTCTTTATTTAGTGACTGCTCTGTTTGCTATAGAGTGCTTATCTCAGAAAAGGGTGACATCAGCCAGTTAATATTAATCCTGATAACAAACAAACCCCCAAATGATTAATGGCTCAAACCCAGTGCAGGATTCTTTCTCGTGGAAAGTCCAAAAGAGGTACTTCTGGTCCCAGGGCAGCTCTTTTCCATTGACTATTCAGAAATCCAGACTCCTCCTACCTGCTGGCTCCATCTTCAGCACATGACTTCTGTGATTGCTGTGCTGAGTTGGCTGCATCAAACTGGTGGAAGGGGAAAGAGGGTGGAGCACCGCATGTGGGAGATACTCCTGGGCCAGGACGGGTATCACTTTTGCTCATACCCCATGGGCTGGAACTACCCCTGTCACATGGCCACACCTAACTGCAAAGGGTGTTGGGAAATGTAGTCCAGCTGTGTGGCTAGAGGGTAGAGGGAATGGGTTCCATGACACCTAGCCAGCCCCTGCCACAGGGACAAAGCAGAAGAAATCGAGGGCTTGGCCTGCATTCTCATGGAGCTGGTCACCCCATTAGGGAACTAGATCCTGCAATACAGGAGCAATTCAGCAATTACGCACTTCAGATAAAGGGCCAAAATGATGGAGGACGTAATCCATCTGAGTGAGGAATCCACTGGGGGCTAGAGATGACAGACAACCCTACAGGCAGGCTTCAATGCAATCCTGAATAGTGAGCAGGTTTCAGGCAGGTGGGCAGGAGCAGGGAGAGTGTGCTAGAGGCAGACGGACAAAAGCACCAGCTCAGAAGTGAGAGGGGCCCATTCTAGAAACAGTGAAACCAGTCTGGCAGGAAGGGAGGGGTGAACAGTTACCATGAAAGGAAGCATTTGAGTGAAAAGATCTCACTGGCCTTTAGTTTGAGAATGCGTGAGGCTGGGAGTCTCTATTTCTAAGACCAAGTGAAATCTCAGTCACTGAGATAGTATAAGAAGTGATGTGAGGTCAATTTCAAATCTATACTGAGTAATATTGTTATCTCTCATGTCTAAACACACACACAAAGACACACACACACACACACACACACAAAACCATGTCCGAGTCAAATCCAGGATTCATCCAGATTCGTAGGCTAAAGATTTCACGTTTGAAAATTTTCAGGTGGGAGATTTTATCTGAATGGACACTTACTCAGTACACATGAACTGTAGCTAGGTATCATGTGATAGTGAATTTGCCCTCAAACTAAGCAGGTGGACTTCCTTGAAGAGGCAGGGGTACTCTCCTGTCAGTTATACTCTGTCAATGATTCTAATTGATTTCCTTATGTATATGTTCTACCTGAATTAAGGCCAGATAACATACAACACCACTTTGAAAAGTAATATTCTCTCTATGGGAATTTATTTATTATATATGTATATGTAGAAAATATAAACCTTTCATAAAAATACTTATTATAAAAGTATAACACCTAATGTATTGTGAGCTTTTGTGGTTATTTAACCATGAAGGATGTTTATGTGAAAGGATGATATTTACCTTTTATTTTCTTACCTACAGCCTTAACACAGAAGTAGATTTTATTTTCCTCTAAGTCAGTTTTTATTCTCCTTACATACATGTAAACTATAACAACAAATGATTCCTTTGTACCTTAGCATTTAAGAAATTACCAACTCTCTTATTTGTAGTGAGGTGGATGGACCTAGAGTCTGTCATACAGAGTGAAGTAAGTCAGAAGAGAAAAACAAATACCGTATGCTAACACGTATATATGGAATCTAAAAAAAAAAAAAAAAAAAAGGTTCTGAAGAACCTAGGGGCAGGACAGGAATAAAGACACAGACGTAGAGAATGGACTTGAGGACACGTGGAGGGGAAGGGTAGGCTGGGACGAAGTGAGAGAGCGGCATGGACATGTATACACTCCCAAATGTAAAATAGATAGCTAGTGGGAAGCAACCACATAGCACAGGGAGATCAGCTCGGTGCTTTGTGATCACCTAGAGGGGTGGGATAAGGAGGGTGGGAGGGTAACGCAGAGGGAGGGGATATGGGGATATATGTATATGTATAGCTGATTCACTTTGTTATACAGCAGAAACTGACACACCATTGTAAAGCAGTTATACTCCAATGAAGACGATAAAAAAAAAAAAAAGAAATTACCAACTCTCAGTTATGACAATTAATTGGTATAAGCCTATGTAAATTTCACAGTACTATCTTATTTATTATCCTTTCTGACTATGGCAATACCCCTCCCTACCTGAGAGGTAGGTTAAGTAGCTTCTTCCATCCCTTTGTAACAGGCAAGGAATCTGAGACAAAGAGGTTCAATTACATCCTGAGATCTGGTAAAATCTGTGCCTTCGGGCTGAAACTCAGGTCCCCTTGCCCTAGGATCTGTCCCCTCTCCTTCATGACTTTACTTATTTCAATGGAGAGAACTGACCATTTGCATAAAAATAACTAAAATATAACCTCATTTAGGAGGATGGGTTTATATATACACGCATATTCATTCAGAAAGCAAAACAATGACATCATATATCTGGTAAGAAGTGTAACCATGAACTGAATAAGAAGTCAAATATCTAATCTATAAGGACTCTTCCCCCAAATCACATGATATACCACTCAAAATCATCATTTCTTTTGTTGAATGTCATTTCCCGTAAATTCTTTGACTCTTTGCATATTGATAAATGTGTTCTTAAGCCTTAGAATGTTATCATTCTTTTGGCACTCTCTCAATCCTTAAAACCTGTATGTGGGTGGAGAAAATATAGACATCTTTTTCTTTATGGACTACAGCAAGCACCAGTTGGGTACTTACTGAGTATGACACGTTGTGTGACAGATCCCGGGGCTTAAAATATCTTTGATTCTAGAGGGAGCTTGAGATAAGGATTATAAATATTGTGCAGAAACAACATCCTGGCTCTAGTTACCTATTGATGTCTTGGCATTGTTGGAGAAATTAGAATCTTGAAAATAATGGAAAACCAGATATCTAGGATTTATGTTCTTCTTGGTGAAAGTAACTCCACAAACACAAATTGAGAGAAGCAAGAGTATAAGTCTGAAGCAAATGATTTTAAGCTCTACTGATAAGAAGGAGAACTGATCCATAGCAGAAAAAAAAAAACAAAAAACTGCCTTTATTCCTGCAGATGGATGCAGTGCAATGCTACCAGAGTGCTTATCCTTCAGTGGGTGCTGAATAGATGTTTGTTGAGTGACTAACTAACCAGGTACACAGGGCTTTCACACAAGTTCAACCTGAAGGAAAATGGGGAACAGTAAATATGGCTCATTTTAGTGGAGTTCACAGCCCTGCTGACAACATGGTGGATCTGCTGGGACAAAGTGACCCTTGGGCAACCCCTGCACGCTAAGATGATCCTAGCATTAATTATTGGCAGAGAACTAGTCATTTCCCCGATCAACATCAGTATGCAGCAAGGCCTTTCCGGGGAAGAAAAGGAATAGAAAAACTTTTCAGAGGTGAGGGAGGCATCTCAGCCACGTTATTTACTTATTCGATTCGATTTTTTTAGTGTCTGAAGTCACAAAAGTTGTAACCAAGACAAACCAGGCTGTGAGTACCATTTTTAAAATGTCATCAGCCTAGCAGAAACATTAGACATAAATCACGAGTTTTATTGTATTTGCAATTAAAAAGATCAAATTTAGTATCTACAGAAAAGCCTTAATAATTAGGATAAAGATTAATATAGTGAAATGTCCCTGGTTTAGCAGGCCACCCAAGCAAAGCTGAAATAAAGAATTGAGTATATAATCGAATAGCATGTGAATATTAATGCACAAAGCCCTCCAAGTCCCCAGATCCCTAATGCAATTATTTCCTATTCACATTAATTGTTCCTAACAGATGACATTAATGACTTTGAGTTAAAATGTGTGCAAAGGAAGATGTCACAAGATCAGTGCTGTTTAGAAATAAGGTCACTTTTATAATCATTTGCTCAGATTTTAACCACTACTCAACATAATAAGGTTAACATGGTGAGTGCTTTTTAATGTGAATATCAAAAGTTAATTTAATGTTAGTATCAAAAGCCAATAAGTGTATTGGGGTATTCACATTTTTCTTGCTGTTTCTTTTTCCTTACTACTTATTTTCCAACACATACCGACAGACTGTGGAAGTGTGATTATTGTTTATAATGTGTAATTGCACATGTGTGTATATAGAACACTGATAAACTCAGATAAACTTTTTTGAGTTAGGATATGTTATCTAATCTAGAAATGTCAACTCTTTTGAGATTTACCTGTCCAAGGCAAGATTTGAAACAAACAATTAAATCAACACTGTTCAAAATTTCTGCCTGTTTTTACCCAGAAACTTCACTCACGCATCTTAGATCTTTCAACCGGGGATTTGCTCTCAGATGTGGAAAGAAGCCGGAGTCTGACGCACTCACGAACTGATGTTGAAATGCACGTGAGTTTCCCTGTCGCCTTCAGAGCACTTGTTCAGGTTGTTCTTTTCCTTCCTTCCATCAGAAATGATGTCACAGGTGAACCATAAAGCGCATCCTTGAAGCACTGTCAGGCAGATTAAAAATACTTTCCTTTCTTGTGTCCTCTGCAATTCAGTATCATGTCCCCCAGCTGATGAAGTAAGCAGAAAGTGTCGCTCTCGGCAAAAATATCATAAATCTTGCCTCGTCCCCAAGATACCTTCTTGGGTATTGATTACATCTCAAAGTCTCTGAGAAATGGCCAAGGAGCTTTTTATTAAAGCCCATGTCCCATATTACTCATCCTACTTTTATGATATATTATGTATGAACTTTTAAAAATTCATGGTCTGTACTTTTTTTTTCTTTAGCTAGGGTTATCTTTGTGCTTATTTGGCAAAACTTTAACCAGCGTGGTTTTTAACTCTCATTGACATAAAAAAAGTATCTTGGAAAACACAAGAGCCAAATAAATATATAATGAAAAGTGTTAGGCTTAAAACAATGACAGATGGACGTTTGTGGATGACTGGCCTTTTATTTTACTGTATAATTTTATAAGTGTAGCTAGGAGAGTCTATATCGGAGGTAAATATTCTCAAGTTAGATTGGAATTAAATGTCAGTGGAATGCTGTCACTTTAAACATTCATGAAGACCTTAATGCCATCCAATCTATAATATGGCCTTAGGATCAGGAATTTTTTTAAGTTGCAGTTTTTATCCAAGAAATCCTTGCCTTCATTCTCTGTGTCTCTCTCCTTTTTTTAACTAAAATTATGGATTTTGTATTGCATTTCTCATAGTAAGGATGTTAAAGCATATGAGTGCTTCAAGGTGGTAATCTAAAATACACTATGGGAAAAAGACACTTTGAATAGTGTAAATGGTATACTTTGCCAATTAAATCAACACAATTAAGATAATGTTGCAACGGAAACAACATACGTCTTGTGGCAAAGAAGAATTTTAATGATAATCATTATCTATTACTAATTACGACTCTTCTCAGGAGGATGTTTTGGAAGGAAGTCTGTATAGGTGCAGGAGTTCTGCTGATTGTCAGGGGCCTTACTTGGAGCTGTATCATAGAGGCTGGGACCTGGGCCTGACATCACAATGTTGTATTGACTGGGTGACCTTGGACAAGATTTGAACACCTCGGTGCCTCAGCTTCCCCTTCTGGAAAATGAGAAAAAATGATAATTTTTTTCTATTTCTGAGAGTTGTAGTGAGGATTAAATAAGATAATATATAAAATGTACATAACACAGTAGCTGCTAACAGTTAGGAGCCATAACGAGATCTCCGCTGCTTTAGCCCTCTTGCGTTCTTAAGTATTTGGCCGCGTGCCACGGCCACAGAAGAACATGGCGAAGGTGGAGAATGAGAATAGAGAAAAGTGCCTACTGGTGTGTCTCTACAGAAGGTCACGTCAGTGACCCGTGGAAATAAAGTACACACACTTCTGGCTGTTTCTCATCACAGCGCCCATGTGTAAGACCATGATGGCATATTAAGAAGTGTAATGCATGGTCCCTTAGGGAGGCTATAAAGCATAATTTTGTTGAAAAGCCAAGACGCACACATATTAAAAAAAGAAACATTTTTAGTAATAGTAGTAAAACCTGACAGTTACTAAGTTTTACTGTCACTAATAATTACTAAGTATCATTAGGCGAACTGCTACTAATTGGCAGGGGCTGTTCACTCTTCACATGGATCTTATGTGGTAGGTGCTTTCATTATCTCCAGGTAGAAAGAAGGAAACTGAGGCATGGAGGAGTTAAATAATTTTCCCAAGGTCAAAGAGTTAGCCAGTGAGAGAGCCAGGATTTAAACCTTATAAGTGGCCTTGGTCACAGAACGGTTATTTATTGGAGCAGGTAATCCTACATGATAATCATGTGCTGATGAGGGAAGAAACTTCAGGACAGAGGAGCTCGCTTTTCAGCCATGATGTCAGAGATGCTGGGTCCCTTATTAAGTTCCAACATTGGTTGCCCAAGGTCAGGGAGAGGTGGGAGAATTTCCCAGTAGAGAGGACTCGCCCCTTCCTCTTCTTGGCGAAGAATTACTCTGTAATCACCCCACCACACACACACACACACACGTACACACACACACACACACACACACACACACACACACCCTCCCCAGTACACTGCTCCAAGGGAGGGCTCACACCACTCCTTTCATCCTCCTCAGCATAGCCCAGGTCACACTGTGAGACACACAACTTGCTACCAAGTAATGCACATGAGAGGTAATCATCTCTCATCGCTCCTCCTAGGCTAGGGGCTTTCTGCTCAAAGCACAGGCCCTGGGCCAGCAGCATCAAAGCACCTGGGAATTTCTTAAAATACTACATCTCAGACCCCACCTCAGAATTACTGAATCAACGTCTGTATTTAACAAGATCTGGGATGACTTCTGTGCCCATGAAAGGATGAAAAGCCCGGCTTAGAGGACACTTCTGTGCATAACTACCCCAGCCCTGCCTGACCCACATGACATTGATGGGCCTTCCCCACCTCCCAACCGTGTCCTCCATCACATCTGGGCATCTCAAGTTCAAGGTCAAGGGAGAGGCAACAATGCCTCCCTCCTCCAGCTCATCTTCTGAGTTCCCTGTCATCTTAATCCAACATCTGTATCGAGGTGCACACATGTGTGACAACTGGGCAAGGAAGCTTATTTGTTAAAGAGAGGCCTGGGAACTGAGTTGAGTTGTAAAAATAGACAGTATTTTGATAGGTGAGGTGGGAAGGTATAGATGGGAAAGACAGAGAGAAATCACAGATAAGCTTCAGTACTTTGGGAAAAGGTAGAATATAAACGGTGACTGACACCTGTGCAGGGTGTGAAAAAAGCCATGGGAGAAGTTTAGATCGGATGGCCTCAAAGGACATGGATGTGATCTCTCTCCGGATAGTAGACACAAGTTCTAGAGCAGAGGTAGTCCTAAATAAAAGCCACCACCCTGGTGAACCAAACAGCAAAATACCAGAGAATGGGACGGAGAAAAGAGAAGACGCACAAGTGCAAGCGGCTCACGATGTGATATTTCTGCAAGTCTGTGCAGGGCATGCTCCAGATGTGTGTGCCGTGCCTGAGGCCTAACTGCATCGTGCTCCTGTGCATTGGGACCACGGGCAGAGGCTAGTTGTTGAGATACAGACGTGAACTCCCCTTAACTAAGTTACGTCTGGCAGTAAATGAGGTCATAAATCAATAAGTATTGCTGAAAGCTGGATTTTAAGACGACTTTCTCCTTTCAGTGGTATTTAGAGCCAAATTTCAGGGGGAAAAATAGAGTAGTAAAGTTCCTTGGCATTTTCAGATCACTTAAAGAGATTATTGTGCAGCCAAAATGAAGTATCGATAGCAAGGCAGATGCCTCATATTGAAAATCTAACGTTATTAAGCATTATGGATATTGGTTAGACAGCAGATTAAACATGCCCTCTGTACCGATGCAGGGGTTTCCTATTGACCACGAGTGCTCCCAGAACAGCATTACCTTCCTTCCCCAAGCTGGTGTTTAGTCATCGTCAGTTGGAATTGCATTTGGAGAACAGTGATATGTACCCAGGTACTAAAGGCAGCCATAAAGTGTCAATAGATTGCACAAGTAAGAGACTTGCCATTCCGCCAGTGACACAAAGACAGATGGTTTCCCATCAATGAGTTTCTGAGACAAAGCTTTTCTAGATAGGGGACAGGAATGAGACTGTAATGGAGAGATCCCATTCTTGTGATCGGGATGCTAAATTAATTTAGCCTGTCCAGTTAGTGGAGCTTCATCTGTTACATTAGGGGCCTATAATGTGGCTGTCAAGATGTTCTGGGGTGTCTACAGCTTTGTCACCTGTGCCTTATGCAGACCCGCTAGAATTCTAACTGCTTGGATCCTTCTGTGCGGGACCCAGATCTGTTTGATGTGAGAATCTTTACCATTTGGATAGCCAACTGATATGAAGAGTCCTAGGATCTTTACAACAGAGCCTCGTGATTCCCAGGTTTGGTGTTCCATTACAGTACATGGCTTCCTGGGCATTCGATCCCAGACTTATAATGATGTTATCAGAGCCATAGGGATTATAAGAGTGATCTGGGAGAACTGTCCCACCCTATACCAGAAGACAATAAGGTCCATGGAAGTTAAATGCTTTCTTTCTCAATATCTCATATCTGGTGGCACTGGTAGCCTGAGAGCCAGGTCGCTAGACTCCAGTCCAGGGCCCATGCTCTTGAACCCTTAAGCCAAAGGTGCTGCTCTGTCTTCTTCCTTTTGTAGCATTAAAGTCATGTCTTGATATTGATCTGATTCTTTAACCAGCATGACTGGATAAAATGGAACACTACCAGTGTCATATTTCTGCCTAACGATGATGGCAGCTCATAATAATTGAGCACCTGCTTAGGCCAGATCCTATGCTGTATGCTTCTCATCTAGAAACTCACTTGGTCCTTGCAGTGACCCTAAACGGTGCGCGGTATTATTATTCTTCACTTTTTAAAAAAGAAAATGTAGCTCTAAAAGATTACATCATTTCCCAGGCATGTTAGTCAGAGTCATAGCCAAGAGTTGAACCCCTAGTCTGTCGACCCCAAAGTCTGTGTCTCTAACCACAGTGCTGTATTCGCTCCTACCTCATTATGATGTTGAGCTGGGATTTCCTCTCTCCCTTAGCGAAGTCCTCGCTCAGAGCTGTCCTGCTTTTTTTAGGAATGCCAGCTGAACACAAAATCAGGAACCCCTGCTTTGAAACGCCCTGGCATGGGGGTTGCCATCCACGGTCATCTCTGTACTCGAAGCAGCTGTAGCAGCAGCGAGCTGTCTCTCTCGAGCGCCTGCAGCGAATACTCCAGCGGCTCCTCCTACACGTGGCATGATGGGAAGAACCTCAGGAAAAGGGTAAGGCTCCTTTCAGGGCACTGCAGCGTCAGAGAGAACCAGAAAAGAAGCCTCTTCCGGTAGGAAGGCGGAAGGTGGGAGGGAGGCGAAGAAGGAAATGACCATTTGCTGAGTTCTTGTCTGTTTACGCTTCTCCCCATTACATAGAAGAGGAAATTGGCTAGAGACTGTTAAGTTCCTTGCTAGAAGTCACACAGCCAGTGAGAAGTGGCATGATGATTCAACCTCAGATGACGAGGCCATCATGGGAGGGAGTTTGGGAGAGAAAGACGTTTTCCCTTCTGTGCTTTGGTGGAGCCCACCGAATTCCCAGATTTATATCGAGTTGGAACTGGAGCCCTGGCCTAATGGAACTGACCACGCTTCAGACCGACTAAGACATTTTCAAGTAGTTTTATGGACATCAAGCCTGTGATGCTCAGAGAGACTTGTTAACGTCCGCTGCAAACGAGAGTGGCCTTGCCCACGTGCCAAGTCACTCCAGACTGAGCATCCCGTGAGAACTCAAAGAAAAGGTTTTCTTCTAGAGAATAGGGAGAGCGGTGCATTCTCTCCGAATGAATGGCCGAAAGGTTTGGAAGTATCATTAGCTTTGTAGGAGTTTACTGCTCAAAAATAGCATGTATTATATTGACCTTTAATCAAGGCAATAGCCTCATAAAACACTAATATTATGGCTGTAAGTTGGAGGGTGGCACAGTAGAGAGGGAGAATTCCATGGTGGACGACAAGCGCTATGGCTTCAGTGAAAGTCGAGCATGTCTCTACTTAGATGCCAGGAGTTCCTCTACCAGATTTTTAAATAACTCTTACGGCTGGAATGACTCCATCTGCAAAGTGGGCTCACCCAGCTGAAGATTCCTTCATGATTTGAATAAACATCTTTGCACACTGGTATAAGCCAAGAATCTGGAATCGCTGTTTCTGCAGTTTCCTAATGTTAAAGAAAAACAAAGAGTACAGGAGAATGGAAACCCTGAATTCGAATATTTGGAGATCGGTTTTCTGCCATCTGTATAAATTTAGTTTATGACTTCAGAAGCATAAGAAACCAGGGAACTTCCGTAACTGCCAGAAAATTTGGGTGAGGGAGGAGGTTTTTCATACTCTGAACAAGAACTCAGAACAAGATTGCAAGCTGGAATTTAGAGCTTATTCCCTTGGACTCAGACTTACAGTGCAAAGTGCGGAGGCTGGGGTGTTATCAGAATTGCTCCTTCTAAGGAGCTGTTTGGAGTTCTGAATAATGACTGCTAGGAACCTGGCCCTTAGCAGACTGGGGAGGTGGTGGTGGTGGGGGGGGGTGTTCCCTCTCTTTGTCTCTGAATATTGCTGGCTCCCAGAGCCCCCTGCTCTGCTCTTTTCATTCACAGCTCTTTCTCTCTCTCTCTGAGCCTTTTTTCTTTTCTCTTCTTTTCTTTCTTCCTTGAAATTTTTCCAGTTAGAGCAACCCTCGGTATCCTAGGGACATCTCTTCCCTGAAAGAGGAGAAATAAGGTTCTTAAGACACTTCATACACACTCCATTAGCCATCATCTGGAGATTTAACAGTGTCCCATCTCAAAATGGCTGTGGAGTACCAGCGTGCCTGTTACATCTCCCAGAGAAAAGTCCTAATTCTCAGGGATCCAGCAAACTAGACCCAGTCTCATGAAGACATTTTATTTTATTTTTATTTGTTTGTTTATTTATTTTTGGCTGCCTTGGGTCTTCATTGCTGCGCACGGGCTTACTCAAGTTGCGGCGAGCAGGGGCTACTCTTCGTTGCGGTACGCGGGCTTCTCATTGCAGTGGCTTCTCTTGTTGCGGAGCACGGGCTCTAGGCGCGTGGGCTTCAGTAGTTGTGGCTCGCGGGCTCTAGAGCGCAGGCTCAGTAGTCGTGGCGCACGGGCTTAGTTGCTCCGCAGCACGTGGGATCTTCCCAGACCAGGGCTCGAACCCGTGTCCCCTGCATTGGCAGGCGATTCTTAACCACTGGGCCACCAGGGAAGAAGTCTTGAAGACATTTTAAGTTGATATTATTTAAGGAACTTCTTAAGTTCTTACCAAGTACCAGGTACTCATTTAGTATTAACTTACATAATAAATTCATACAATATAAATTTGAATGTGAATATAATATTAACCTATGTAATAACAAATATATGACCAACGGTTCTTTAGTAGTTCATAAGTATTTTGGTTTAATATTTTTTTGTGTAGAAACAGAAGGGAAGCCTACATGAAATGCACTGGCCTGCCCTCCATGGAGGAATCTGGCTTGTATTATTGAGTAATGACCACATGTCAGCTTTGTCAGCTCTTCATAAGTACTAGCTCATTTAATGCTCGTGATAGCTTATTAAGTAGGTTCTCCTATTTCCTCCATTTCACAGAGAAGTAAACTTGAGGTGCTGAGAAATTAAATATCCATCCCAAGGTCTCATAGCCAGTAAGTGGAGCTGGGCAGTTGGTTCCAGAACCTTAACCATTCTGCTAGACTGACCTCCTTGAATCAGCCTAAAACGTGGAGGAGTCCCAGTTGTCGGGATGGGTTTGTTTCCATTAAGACCAAGAATGTCGTTTAAAAAAAAAAAAAGAATGTGTAAAACTGTTGTCTAGTCAAGAAATAGGAAAGAACTGTGGGCATTAAACCGAGGCTCCTACCTTATCAGCAGCATCTTTCAGCCAGCTGCCCTGTTCCCCAGAGCAAGTCTCTTCTGACTTTTCCCTGCAAAGAATGAAGCTGCCAATATGAAATGCCAGCTTCGTCCCACCATCTCCCCAATAGGAGATTCATGCTTTTTTTCAAGTTTCAAGATTATCCTCAACCTTTCTCAAGCTATTAAATACCATGACCTCCTTTGGAAAACTGTTGGAGGAATGTGGCTAATCTCCCACGGTGGGGAGCCAGGGCCCTGGGAGGTTTGCAGCCTTGGGCCCTGGGATGACGCAGACCACAGCATGGGCAGGCTGCGGGGAGGCAGAAGAGAAGTGGGTAGGCAGACACAGAGCACACCTATGGCGTGAACAAATCTGCCCCTTTCAAGTTCTAAGAGGGTGCTTTTGCCTGGCTTCTCTTCTTTTTTGTGAACGTGACATCAGGATCATGGAAATTCTTAGAAACCCAAGCTGTGGCAGTCTGCTCACTGGTCAGTCTATAATACCCAGACTTACCGAAGGGATTTCTTCTGATTTCCGAAGGAGTTTTTAATGGCACAGCAGAAGAGGAGGGGGAAGGGGAAGCATCACCAAAATAGAATCTATGCACAGCAACTTCTGACCCTGGAGAATTTTCCAAAGAGAATATATAATTTGACTTAAAACCAAATATACATACAACAAATAAAGAAAAAATAAACAAGACGTATTGTTGATGACAAGATTTTTATGATTTTTAACAATCAAAATTTTTATGAGAAAGTTTTAGATGTAACCAGATGCTCGCTGAGATTCCAAGGCAAGTTTCTGACATGGAGCTGACCTCTGCTTACGAGCGCTCAGGTGTTCAGAGTCCTGGAGCAGCAGGGCACCTAGTGTGGAGATGCCAACGGGAGCTGTACTCTTAGCCAAGACTGGTGCAGAGTGCACATCTGAAACCACCAGATTCATTCATAGACATTCTTCATCGTTAATTATATAGCCTTTTAAAAGAAAATAGTCATTAGGTCAGAGCCTCCCAGTTTCCCCGAGTGCCGGTTTGTGATTAAACTCCACAAGTTCCATTCGAAAGAGGGGTGTTGGAATAACCTATGGTCTCTATTATGACTTTGACTAATATAGAGGGTAGAACAGAGGCTAAGCTTCATTCCAGCAGTATGGCATCCAGATGGATGGTGCAGTCTCTAGAGCCAGATTGCCTGGGTTCAGATCTCCACACAGCCACTTCAGAAATGGTCATAGGAAGGACCCAGGAGACCAGAGTTCAAACCTTTGCTCCAGCTGTTCCTTAACTATGTGATCTCCAAAGGACAGACCTTGCTGAATCTCACTTTCCCGCCTAGTAAAATAGAACTGATAATGTCTCCCTCATGGTATTGTTCTGAAAATTAAATCAAAGCACTGGGTCAGGGGCTGGTACACAGCAAATGCTTGGTCAATGTAAGTTTCCTCCTCTGCCACTGTTTCTTGCTAGCAGTAATTTGATAAATATGAATGTCTGAGTAGAATGCCATGGTTTTTTCTATGTCATTTCTTGGTCACTTCTCCAGAACTAACACTGGTATTTGGAGAAATATGAAGAACAGGAAATTGACCTTTTGAAGTTAGCCGGTGAACCATTGCTATGAGTTCTAACAGCAAATGCCCAGCTGCTCTATCTGTGTAAACATTGCACAGATGTTCACTGCCTATCAATGAGTAAAGTCATGAAGCCACATGGCATTCTAACTTTCAGTCGTTAGAATGGAAGGGACCGTAAAGGCAGGGACCAGCTTACTTTTCCATTTACCCTCTTTACCTGCCGTATACACTGAGCAGTGAGCCATAGTGTCTTCTGGTTACTCCCTAAGTGTTCCTTAAGCATACTTTTCCAATTCAGGTCTTTGCCTTCCCATTTCTTCTACCTGGAAATCATTTCCTCTACTTTTAAACTAAGGCAAACCTATCTCTCTTTCTAGGGCTAGGTTTATTTTTTTAAAAAGAAAAGGAAAGGAAAGGAAACTTATATGCTTTTTGTATTTTTTTTTCTGAACAGACATGTGGTCTCCCTCGTCCGAAATTCTGGAGTACCTGCTACCCCTGCATGTCTCATATGATCCCTTGACTTATGGTTCCTTGAGCTCAACTCCTCCTGGGGGTTGCATGCTCCTTGAAAGCAGGGTCCTCATCCTCTACTTACCTATATCATGTGCTACTTAGCTCAGGACCTGGCAAGGTAGAGCTTCACTGCGTAGTTAATGAATTAGTTTGAATCAATTAATGAATAAATGCATTTATATGTGAATATTTATCAACCACTAGAACAAATTAAGTTTAATGATGGCCTTTTCCCTTTTATAAATTGGTGATCCACAGAGCTCAATCATTTCTCATGTCTCCTTTTCTTTCCTAGCAGTCGTCACAAAATTGGGACAAAAGGTTAAGTATTGACTCTTCACTCCCGAGTGGCTTTGCTAGTCCCACAGATGAACTACCTCCGACTCGCATCAAGGAAAGCCACATTTTGGAAGGACTCAGAAAGCTCCAGAAGCGAAAAGTGTTACTTGAACCCCCATCAGTGATAACCAAATGGGGTTATAAAGATTGCATGAACTCCAATGAAGGAATCTATTCGCCAGGAATTAAAAGTAGCAGCCTCAAGGAATATCCCCCCTGCAAACCCACAGACACGGGGAACCCCTGCAAGGAGCCCCACAAGGCATTTGCTTATGACACAGATTCTCACGACGATGCCGAAGAGGACCCTTCCTCCTTAGCCTCGCTCCAGGCAGTTCCACACCAGGGCTGCAGGCTGCACGGTTGTGAATTAACCCACAGTGTTTCTGACAGTCTCTTTGGCTGGGAGCTGAATGGCAAACACTGTTCAGAAATCACTTCCTCGGTCTACCCCTGGGAAAGGCCTGAGAAGCTGACCAGTTGTGCTAGCAACTGTCCCTTGGAGCGGAAGCAGTGCCCAAGTGCGCAGGGGCCTCAGGTACAGAGAGAGAGGGACCCGCACAGCCAGGGCTGCCTGTCTGTCAATCTCCAGCTCTCAGACACTGATGACACCGAAACCCTGGATGAGCTGCACATAGAGAGCAGTGATGAGAAAAGCCCTTCAGACGTGTCTTTGACTGTGGACGCCGACAAGTCCGTGGAGAACCTGGACGTCCATGTGGGATTTGGAAGATCTCAACGTGGGTCTCCTGAGGAGGAAGAAAAACAAGTGCCCGTCCACTTCGAGAGCAGGCCAAAGACGTTTAGTTTCATTAAGCAGCAAAGGGTTGTAAAACGGACTTCCTCAGAAGAATGTATTACTGTCATATTTGATGCAGAAGATGGCGAGCCCATTGAGTTCAGCTCTCACCAGACTGGCCTGGTCACTGTTACCAGAAAGGAGATTTCCATCCATCAGGCCCCTGCTGGGCCCCAGACAGAACACACTGAACTTTTACCTCAGGGAATTGCTCACTTACAGCCAGGGGCTGCTGCTAGAGACTACCCTTTCTTGAAGAGATCTGAAGAAGAAACTGAGAGAAACATTCCAAGACAAGAAGTGGATGATGTTGCCGTGACACCCACTGAATCCTTCCACCCCAGGACTGTGACGCAAAGCACTCAGCGACAAAGACTGACCAAACCAACACACGCTACGTCATGCCAGAGTCATTCTAGGTCCTCTGTGGCCACGGGCATCTATCAGAAGAAAAGTCTGACAAAAATACCTACCAGGGGCAAGTCTTCACCTCAGAAATCGAGGATAATGGAGCCTGAAGCCTCCCTCATGGTCCCCTCAGCTGGCCCAGTGACTCTTGAGAGATCACCAGCTCCAGGGAAACTCTCACGGTTCAAAAAGTCTGAAGGCCCAGAGCCCCTCTTTGCTTTACCGCCAGATTCACACATTCCAAAACCCTCCACCCAGCTCCCTCACGGCTCCAAAATGTTCAGCAGAAGGGACTGGGTCCAGTACTCCAGGAGTCAGATTCCAGCGTCACAGCTGCTGCCAAGGCCCCCTGCCGAGCCGAGTGACGATGGCGAGCCCCCCACGAGGGATAAACACTGTGACCCGGGGCCAGAGGCCGGGGTGAGATCGCCCTCCCTGCCGTCCCCTCCAGGCAGGTCGGTCTCCCTACTCGCCAGGCCCAGTTACGACTATCTGTCGCCCCCTTCGTGGGCCAAGCCAGAGAGCGGGGTCCCCAGTGAGGCGGCGAGGACAGTATTGAAATCCCCCCCTCTGAAAGGATCCTCTGCTCCAATTATTTATTTTAATCAGACCGTGACAGAAGTGCAGGGGAAGAAACCTTCTGTGGCCTTCAAAAAGCCAGTCTTCACTCCCCCTCCGCCCTCCACAGAAACAGCAATCCAAACCAGATGCCCTGCTCACAGCCCCTCCAGCTCGTTTGCTGGGATGGCCCCAGGGCCTCCAAAGGTCTCTCCAAAGAGAAGTGTCCCCAAAACCCCACCTCACCAGACACTTGGGACCACACAAACGGACATAGGGTTACGGACTCCCAAGAACTGTCCTTCTACCCGTGAGCCACTGGAAATACCGTCTCCCAAAGGTGTGTCTCCAGCAAGAAAAGGACAGTTGAATGACAGTGTCTCCACACCCCCCAAGCCCTCCTTCTTAGGGGTAAATGAGTCACCATCATCTCAGGTTAGCAGCCCCTCGTCATCAGCACCCTCCAAAAGCCACAGCACCCCGCAGGGTTGCCAAAACCCTCAGGAGAGAGGACTGAAAACTCGCCTCCCCGTTGGGCTCAAAGTCTTCATGAAGTCTCCCCAGTTGCTCAGGAAGAGCTCTACAGTGCCAGGGAAACATGAAAAAGACAGCCTCAACGAAGCCTCGAAAAGTTCCGCGGCTGTGAGCAAGGATAAGCCAGGGACCTCCAGGAACGCCAGCAGCCTTGAGACCACGGGAGGCGAAAGAAATGTGTCTCCACTGGGTTTACGAGCACAGGAGAGTTTGGCCGAAGGGCTTCCCCTGGAAACAGCAACGCCAGAGTCACTGGAAAGTAGCACGCCTGGGGCTGATGGAGAAGATGCGGTAGAAAACAAGTCTGTGAAGAGATCCCTGTCCTCCAACAAACCGCTGCTAAAACCAGCTCTAGGCATGAACGGAGCCAAAGCCCGCAGCCAGAGTTTCAGCGCTCACTCAGGGGACAAGCCCCCCACGGCCTCCGTGGAAGGGCCAGGCAAGGTCCGGACTCAGATTATTACCAACACTGCTGAGAGGGGCAACTCCCTCACCCGGCAGAGCTCCTCCACGGAAGGCTCTCCCAGCAAGACCGCGTCTGCCCCGGTGTCTGACGGTCTCCCTGGTGCTGGGAGGCCCCTGGGGCATCCTTCCTCCAGGCAGGGCTCCCTGGGGAGTACAGGCAGCTCCAGCAGCCAGCACGGGAGTCCAAGCAAGTTGCCTTTGAGGATCCTTCCAAAATCCGAAGGGCCCCTCGCCCCACCTGGAACAGAAGAGCAGCCGGCCTACGCCCAGGGAGAAGGCGTCAGGGTGACTGCACCAGAGGAAGCAGGCAGCGACCACGGCAGGTGCCCGTCCACCCCAAAAGACGGCCTGGGAGCCCCTCAGAGTCCGGGGAGGACACGGCATCCCAGCAGTTTTGAAACCAGCAGGACCTCCAAGCTAGAAACTTCTGGAAGGTATCCAGACACGTCTACAACCAGGACCGGTGCTGTGAGCCCAGAAGCCCCCCTCTCACCCACAATCGAAGAAAAGGTCATGTTGTGCATTCAGGAAAATGTGGAAAAGGGCCAAGTGCAAACAAAGTCCACCTCTGTGGACGCGAAGCCGAAGCCCGGGCCTTCTTTTGCCAGCTGGTTCGGTTTTCGGAGGAGCAGACTGCCGGCTCTCAGTAGCAGGAAGATGGATGTCTCCAAAACCAAAGCAGAAAAGAAAGATGCAAAAGGTTTGGGGTTTGGAAACAAACAGCTAAAATCAGAGAGAAAGAAAGAGAAAAAGAAGCCTGAGCTACAATGCGAGATGGAAAATGAACTTAACAGGGACATCGAGCTGGCAGATGGTCCAGACAGTGGTTTACAAAACAGAAATAACCTGAAAACACCGCCAGACATTTATGACCAAGTGAAGTTTGTATCGAGAAATAGACCCAGCCCTGTTCCGTGTGCAACGAAAGATACCTTTATGACGGAACTCCTAAACAGGTAGCGTGTTGGCAAAGAGGGTGGCAGTGTAGAGGGCAGTGCAGAACCCTACCCACTCCTCACCCCCCAACAGGGAGAGTTGTTTGTTTCCTGCATACTGAATAGCAGTCAAGCATGTTTCTCATACAAGCAGAAATTCATCGTAGCAATCTTTTACACGTTAGCCAGAATTTAAACAATGAAGTACAAGTTAGCGATAAAATGGTAATTTAGTCCACGTTACTTTGGTAACCAAACGAGTGGTCTTTGAAATTAAAGAATGGTAAGTTTTATCAAGGTTGATGGAAATCCAGCCTACAGTAGAAATCATGAATATACCCACGTGGCATGAAATGGAAGAAAACTACACATATGTTTTTAAAGGATGCTGACCCCACTGATCGTACCGAGCAAACTTAGAAACTTTCTGGAGGTAATTACAGATTCTGCTGATCTCAAGCCAGAAATATATTTAGCAATCATTCCCCAGTGGTTTTTACTCTATTCCCTCACACACACACCCGCCATCTCACAAGCAGTCATAAAAATAAAAATAAGTCATTGCATTATCAAATCTAAATTGACACACTACCGGAATAGCAGATGAACATTTGACCAAGGCCAGTGAGACACACTTATCACTCAAGGGTTTAAAGACAAAGAGACACATGGAGGTTACTTTAAACATTAAAGGATTGGGAAAAGTAGAGCGATTGCAGGAGAGCAATGTAATTGATCAGAGGAATCACTTTCTACCTGCAGAGTTGATAAGAAAGCAGCTCAACAGACTGAAAGTGGATCAAATAATGTTTCCTGCAGGAGCGTGTTAAAGGGCAGCTCCCAGGGCTCTTGTGTCACCGGCAGCTCTATCGGCACTCAAGGAACCCACAAGAAGAACGTCAAAACCAAAGCAGATACGGAAATACCGAAAGGCTCCCTGGTAAGTCTTTTACCATCCTGGTTATGAAGTGTCAGGTTCTGAGATGGGCTCGTTGGGTTTTGTCTACCCTTTGCTGATGAAAATATATAGGCAAGAGATTAAGGGGGAAAGGGAAAGTTAAAGCCAAAGAGAAAAAAGAGGGAAATCTTGGTGACGCTGTAGCGGAGTGACGGCGGTTAGATTGGAATGGGCCTCGCTCCCTCCACTCTTGCTGCCTTTGTAGTTCCCTTCTCAGAAGGATGGTATGATCACAGTGCAGGCAAATGATGCTGCGAGTGTCATCTTCCAGTTACACCCTTGTGCTGGGAATTTGTCCTGATGATGCTTTCCATCATTTCCAGCAACGCAAAAAGGAACGAAAATGATTGTAAAAGATAAAAGTGCAGAGCAATTTAGGAGAACATTGGCTATTTTGATGATTTGATTTAAGCATTTTTCCTAAAGTTGTAAACACCGACTCATCCTACCTAAGACAGAAGGTGTTAAGACTTAAGAAACTTATCCTTGGAACCAGGCCTGGATGCTGCAGGGCAAGGGAGAGGGGACAGAGCCTGGAGCTGTGCCCCATGCTCCCGGCCGGGACATCAAGCCTGTCCTGGGACTGGGCGCTAGCCCCGGAGCTAGCATGGTCCGCCGTGCAGGCTGCACATCGGGGCTTCTGTAGGCTGCCCAGGTTTCCTGAGTGACAGGGACCTCGAGAATGGCCGCTACCCGCCCGGGCCCAGGCCGCCCGCAGGAGGCGGTGGCAGCTGCCACCCCCATCGTGACGGCCACGGAAACACGCTCGGCGGAGACAGCTATCCCTCGTTCGGCAACCCACAAGGCAACGTGATAGCAAAAATCGTGTCTCCTGTCGTGTCCGTGGTGGTGGTGACCCTGGACCCTCGGAGCGGCCAGCTATTTCCAGTACAACAGGAGGAGGAATTGCTTCAGGACAAATGAACCAGAAAACATCTTAGGCCTTCAAAATCCACCCATCGCTTTGAGAAAAGCTCCGTCCAGTCAAGAACCGCCTTCATCGCTCCCATGAAGTTCCTTTCCTTCTTGGCTTGACCAGCTGCCCTGAAGGGTTTTCTCTTCTGTTTGCAATAGACGTGCTGCCTAACCAAGAATTGCTAATTCCTCAGACACCTCGATCAATCGTGATAAGGTAGACAGCTGGACCTTGGGTTGTACAAAAGATTGCTTGATCTGTTGGTTCCATCGTGAATCTGGACAGAGAGATTCCGGCTCTGGAATGAGCTCCGAAACTACCGACCCCAGGCCATCGACATGGTCACAAAGCACAGGGGCAGCAGAATGGCACGGGGGTCTTGGGCGGGAATGCCATCAGCTTCTAAAAGATGAAGACAGACTGCTGTTTGGGTTTCCAGCAAGCTGGGGTGAGAAGCTTGGCTGTTGCTGTAAGTTCCTTAGTTACGTCAGGAATCCAGACCCGTTCACCACCGCCCGTGAATCGGGAATGAGTGATTTCCAACAGTAACGGCAGAATTTGCACGTTATTTCAGCTCACAAAAATATTGTCACCTGCAGAGGATCAGGCTGGATTTGGGAAATTGAAGTGCAAGATCGCTGATGTGGAAACCGTCTCGGGGAAGTGATCAGGGGGTGCTTTTTCCTGTGAAATAGTACAGTTTCTACATTGTTTTGGAGAACGCGGGGTAGAAATAGAGATTTGCAGATGTTCAGGCTTTTGGTATCATCTTTGACCTTTGATGCTCTTTGGGTACCACTTTTGAAGGCGACGGCAGTACTTTCCTTGGTTTATACTTTTCTTTTTACTGGACTAGATGATCTTCTATCCTCAAACATCTAAAAAGTAAACTAGCCGTTTGCTTCTATTTTAGTAATACTTTAGGGGAGAGGAAAAAGGATGGTTTGGGCAGATGAGTATAGTTTGATTCAACTGAGATTAATGCTGATAGAATTTTAGAGTTTAAATATTAGAACCAAAGTCACTAGAATCCGGATCTCATAAAGAGGACACGTTAAAATTCCAAATACACATGCTTTGTGCTCACCCTTAAGGATTGAGAGCTAGGTCTCCCAAGAGAAGCTGAAAGCAGAAAGCATTTGAAAGAGCTTCGCGAACATGGAAAAGAACTTGAAACTAACGGTCCTGATTAGATGTCTCAGAATTGCATGACTTCCATCCTGGATTTATATAGATTGGAGCCATTTGAGGATAGCCTGTATTTCCTATTTTAATATGAATGTCCCATGACTCTTCCCAAATCTTGTTGAGCTTTCCCATAAGTGAGGACGCCCACTAAACATTTCCCATATATGAGTTTTCGTGGGGAGTTTAATTTAACTCTTGTTAAAAAGTGTGTGTGTGTACACACACAGATTTACACACAGATACACATAAATGGAACTTCCAAAAAAGGTAACTCCATCCATTTTCCGTAACTGTCGCGGACAGCTTTTCATCATTTAAAATACACGTAAGATGGAAGCAACCTAAGTGTCCATCGACAGATAAGTGGATAAAGAAGATGTGGCACATATATACAATGGAATATTACTCAGCTGTAAAAAGAAACGAAGCTGAGTTATTTGTAGTGAGGTGGATGGACCTAGAGACTGTCCTACAGAGTAAAGGAAGTCAGAAAGAGAAAAACAAATACCACATGCTAACACATATATATGGAATCTTAAAAAAATAAAAAGGTTCTGAAGAACCTAGGGGCAGGACAGGAATAAAGAAGCAGACATAGAGAATGGACTTGAGGACACAGGGAGGGGGAAGGGTAAGCTGGGATGAAGTGAGAGAGTGGCATGGACATATATACACTACCAAATGTAAAATAGATAGCTAGTGGGAAGCAGCCACGTAGCACAGGGAGATCAGCTTGGTGCTTTGTGACCTCCTAGAGGGGTGGGATAGGGAAGGTGGGAGGGAGGGAGACGCAAGAGGGAGGAGATATGGGAACATATGTATATGTATGACTGATTCACTTTGTTATAAAGCAGAAACTAACACACCATTGTAAAGCAATTATACACCAATAAAGATGTTAAAAAATAAATAAATAAAAAATAAAATACATGTAAGAGAAAATAAAAAGAAAGTTATCCTTTTTGGAACTTGACTCCCTATCATTTAGTGTTTTAATTATGAGGTCCAGAACTCAGGGGGTAATATCCTTTAAAAAAATGAATAAAAGGCATTTTTATATTTCCCAAGGATATGCCAGTTTCAAATAATATTTTTGTTTTAAAATTACCTTAAATTGAACTTCCTCTCCTTATGTTCTTTCTGTTCTTGCATCACTGGTGATATTCCTTGTTCCTTTATGTAAATTTTAAAGCACTTGAGCAAAAAACAGTATCTTTTCAGAATTCCTGTATCCATATATTTTTGGGCTCTAGCACAAGTGATTATAAGATCTACTATGTGCTACCATTTTCCTAAGGAAAACGTGAAACATGAAGCAATTACTCATTTTTTTCTGGAGTGGTTCAAGAGTAGAGGAGATTTTAGAAGTAATCGTGATTGGCATTATTAGTTTTTAATTATTATTGATGTTTAGGGTTCCTTAGAGTTTCACTTTAATTTGAGACAAATGTACATTTAAATGCTTTTTTTTTTTCAAACAGCTCTTGACTCTAAAGAGCTTTAAGTTCTTTTTTTTTTTCTTTTCCAAACCCTCTGAAATCATATGCAGACTATGTTCTTTGCAAAAGCTTTTTTTTTTTTTCTTTTCCCCACTTCTTGCTCTTGGCCTCCATGGTATCATGCCTTCTTGAAAACATAGATGTCCCTTGCATTATAAAATCACAAATTATAAGTGTGTCTAAGGCTGCCTCTGTAGTGTCACTGAAAGGAAAGAGAGAGAATAAACGTGCGGAAATGTGCAGTATGCCAGAAATTCAATCCAACTGATCTAAAACTTTGATAGGCTGGCAGAGCCCCTTATCAGAGGCACTCAATTTAACTATGCCCCATTTAATATGGTGCTGACAGCTTGGGGTATATCTTCACTGTACAGAGATACCAAAAAGAAAAAAAACCTGTTTAGCTTTTACAATTTCATTTTTACTTTCTTATTACTTCCTAGTGCTAAAGTAATTTGCCTTTTCTTCTCTCATTTGAAGTCTTTTACATTGTAATAATGTTTCCTTTGGTCCTTCCGGAATATCTGCAAGAAACACTCTTATTGTTCTCTGTGAAGTACAAGGATTCCCTAACCACCAAATATACATCATCCATAGGGATAAGCTAATTTTCTAGTTAGCTGCAAGAGGAAAATTAGTCAGGCTGGGACGCTTTCCATATAGAGGACTATTATTAACCTAGATAGTTGAACAGCTAGTCATTTATTCAAAGGTAAAATGCAATTTTTTTTCACCTCTATAATCGGCAATGGGGATCGGACTAAAATTACTAATTTCAGAAAGGACATTGGCCCTAGTCCCCTTGGGGACTAGTAAAAGAACAGCAGTGAAAACCTATTCATTGTATGTTATCAGCCTATATAGAAAGGAAATTAGATGCAAAATGAGATACACTCTTATACCATAGCACATTGATGTGAGTACCCACGAACCTTTTAAAATCAAGAGTTGAAGGGAATTTTCCCCTCCTGCGGCTCAAGGTAAATTTGCTCTCTGCTTCTTTTAAATTGTGTCTTAGAGAATTCTTCTCACAGTAGTTATTTTGGGTGAAAACAATAGCTGCGCATAATGCATTACATATCACATTTTTTTCCTGAATAAAATCACTCTTCAAAAATCTTATACCAGGGACTTCCCTGGAGGTCCAGTGGTTAAGACTCCGCACTTCCATCTCAGGGGGCGCGGGTTCGATCCCTCGCTGGGGAACTAAGATCCCGTGCGTCGCAAGGTACAGCCAAAAATACCCAAAAAATCTTACACCATAATATACCATCATCCTTTGCCCTTAACAATCTAAGGCTATATGTAGTTATGAGGGTCCTAAGGCATTTAAATTATTTTAATCTGTGGTAATATAATAGAAAAATTATTTCCATACATATATCAAGTCCATGTACGTAGCACACCTCCACTTAGTTCACTGGTGACTGACTGCATATCCATTTTCAAGATTGCTAGATGCACTCTACTGTATGTATAAAAGTCTCATTAATGCTTTACTGAATTAAATATTTTTCTCTTTTCAGAGCCTTAATTAGAGGCTTATGTCCCCATTTATGCTGTCATTTACAGACCACTTAGCTCTGACCTTTGTGTAATTTAGACAAGGGTCATGTTACTTTGCACTTTTACTTAAATTCTGCAAAATCATTATAAGAGGGGGAAAAGGCATCCCCAGAAAAGATTGCATCAGTATTAAGTAAATAAGTCAGAAAGAAATACACACTCCTTCCTACATGTTGTAAGTCCTTCCTTCCTGTGGATTTAGGTAATTTTCTGAAATGAGAAGTCTCAAAGGAACAGCTCCCAGCTCCTTATTGAGCTGTCACTGGACAAAATAAAAATCGTTAATGAAATTAATGAGATCATATAGCTGGAAAGAGATGGCCATTTTAATATGGGTATTTTAATTTAAATTATGAGTATCCTCTTCACCCAGTGTCACATAGTCTGAAAAAATCACATATGCTAATAAAAAAGTATCAAATACAATCCCATTAAAATTGTGCTGCGGTGATGAAGTAGCATAAAATAGTACAATAATTACACAAATTGTTATCATCTTATTAAGTTCTGCAAAATTTTATAATTTCAACATCTTTAATTGAACAATTCTGTTCTAAATCCTATTTGGATGCTCATAAGAAGCATGCCTATTTTGCCCTCCTCCTGCAGAGTTTTCTAAATGACTGTCTTTCCTAAAGGTAATGCCTCCCAGGAGGCTTCCCTCCAAAGATCACTTCTCTCGTCTCACAGAGGCTCATTAAGTTCTTTTCCTTTTCATTGAGCTTTAACATCAAAATGTTCTTTTCTCGGGATGCAGTTCTTGTTAGGAAGATTCAGAGAAGAAATATACACAGAATTCCAAATGAAGGGTGTCCCCAAATGTTGGGTTTTATTCTGCAGTTATGTATATATATTTGTCAGCAATGAAATACTTTCTCCCTTTTTCCTCCTGTGTCCTTTGTAAGCACGTTCCTCCCAGCCTTTTCTAATGGGAGAGGTTAATAGAATATAATGGGTACAGTGGCATTTAATGGTTACCTGTTAGAGACTGGTATGTAGTACAGCTCTTGACTACAACTGCAGAGGTCAAAAGATGGGCAAGAGCTGGAGGTGCACCATTAGAAGGTGCCCAAAGTACTGGCAGCAAAGTGAAACCAAAAATAACCCACATCATTGCTCACGAGTCACCTGCTACTTCTTACCAAATGGGACATTACTGACATTGATTTGTATCTGTTCCTGGTAGAGCAATGGCTGAAGAAATTCTGAGTCTCTAACCACCATTGTTTGCTGAGCCAAACTTCTTGGTTTTGTGACCATTCCCATCTGTGCAGTGCTTTGCCACGTGAAGAATTCGCTTCGGCAAATTCTTCAGCTTGAGCTCGCAGGCCCTTGCCCCCAGGAAAGTTCCACAGCCTTTCGCCAACACACAGCCACTGTGTGATCAAGAGTGAAAATTAATTTTAATTTCAGCCTATGAGAAATACAATTAGCAAGGGGAATCTGCTGCCAAAATAAATTATGCCCCGCATTTCCATATGGAAATGGATTTTTTTAATTACTCACCACTTTGCATTGAAATCTATTTGTATGGATAATTAGAGCTGACAAGTATGCCATTCTAAGGCACTCCCCCATTTTCCTTTCCTTTGTTGATTCTTCATCCATCCCCTTCCAATTCAGAACTTCCCCTCATGTGTCATTCGCTGCTCAGGGGTCATTATCCCAGGAGAGCTGAAAAAACTCCTGTCTACAATCCCAGTTCCTCTGATAAATACCCAAGAGGCCACGTTTAGCATTTGCTGTTAAGCACTTAAAGCCCTAGAAAAGTTCTGACAAGGAGCTGATAGGTAGGACCTCAAGATGGTTTTTATTTTCCTTCTTAAATATGATACTCGGACAGAGGTGGTGATTAAGTTCCACCGAAGGCGTCGGAACAAGTAGGAAAGAGAAGCAGGGCACTAACACACACAAACAGAAAACTTTTTTGCTACTCTTAAATAAAAATATAGTTTATGTGTATTTGGAATACTGCCTACCTAATTGCCAGACACTAAGAAAGAGACAGTAGTTCTTGGGAAGGTCTGGAAGGGATGACTGTGACAAGATAGCACACTGAAAAATTAAATTACAGCAATGAATAGGGGTCAGGAGTGCCCACTCTAAAACTGACATCCTTTTATAACCTTGAACAGATCACTAACCCTCTCTAAGCCTCTTCTCCTTTATCTCCAAGATGAGAACCGTATTGTAATCGTTACTTTCTTCTGTTCAGGATTTCATAGGCTGATGGAGGTGATGATTCACCCACTTTCTAGCAGGTTAGCATGGCACCCCTTCAAGTTTAAAATTGGTTGATTTAGAAAAACCCAAAGGAAATACTATCTTACCTAACAGGTGTGCGAAAATATGGAGCATCCTGTCTTAGGTATTGGAACGGGCTGAAAATATAGATTTTCTTGATGCTTCTGTAAATGAGGATAGAAAGTTCCTGTTGGATTCTTAATGGAAATTAAGGTGTTTGGGTCTCCTTCCTTTTGGGTTTCTTGGTAGCTTTGTCACAAAGAGGTCACCGAACTAGGTGAACTTTGGAAGGCGAATAAGTAACTCGTTAGTCTTGATGATGCACACAGAGCTTCTCCTCTCTGCCATCCATAAATACGAGAAATAGGGCTGGTTGGTGTTGCTGGGGGTACTAACAAACAAGGCAGTGCTCGCAGCAGACAGCTGATGGGGAAAGAAAGTGATGACGCGTGGCCTCTGGATATTCAGCCCTTAACACCCTCTCCTTTCAGGGTTCAGACAGTCATTGACATACTCCTGAGTGTTCCATCTCCTGGCTCTCAGTATGTACGGACTAGGCGCCAGTTACATTCTGATATTGGAACCATGATCATGAAATGTAAATAATTGGTCTGATTCCATTAGTCATGAAAAATAAGAGGTTAAAAAGTAGAAAGCTAAGTCTAGCTCAAGGTCAGTTGACCAGCATATGACTTTCTATATTGTAAGTATAAAATAATGGTTTCTTGGCATTCCACTCGAGCCCCCGAGCAGATCCACTGACAACCTCTAATGTCCCCCCACTGCGTTCATTGCACAGTTCATTATTATCGTTGGCTGCCCAGGTGACCGGCTGGGATGTATTTTCAAAGAGCTACTTAGGGTCATTCTGCCAAGGACCATAAGCTGTCTTGACCTTGTGGCCAAGTCTACACCGGCATAGTCCCATGGAAATTTGAGAATAACAAAGTTCCACCAAATGAACACAACACTGAAACCAGATTTGCTGTGTTTGAATCCTGGTTCCACCGCTTGGACAATTGCTTATCTTGTCTGTTTCTTCAAGGCCCCTTATGTCCAAAACGGAGCTAACGATAGCACTTACCTCCTGGCATTGCAAGGTTAGGCGAGCACAGGTGTGAGGGGCTTAAAACAGCTCCTGCTGCATAGTAGTTAAATGTTCGCTGTTTTTATTATTATTGATATTGTTCATGATATTGTTATTACTACTGCTACTAGATTGGGAAGTAGGGGGCCTGGGTTTAGTGTTGGCATTTGCATATGTTTAAGGAAACTTGCTGGATCTCAGAATTCTCGTTTGTAAAATACTGTGACTGTATTAGATTCCTACTGGAGTTCCATTTGGTACTCCGGCATTCAGCTCCTGGATATCCCAGCTGAAATGTAAGGCGGATGTTTCTGACCTGAAAAAAATCTAGGTAAATGCATCAGCCTTCTAGTTCACTGAGCACACATCATAATCACCTCACATTTCATTCTGGAAAGAACAACAACAAAATAACATTTTCTTAGAGAGTTATACTCTAGGAGAAGGTCAAAAGATCTAAGTGTATTTCTTTATTCTCATTAAAATAACTTGTGGTGGAGTCACTGTCCCTGGAAGAATTATGTTTCCTTAGACTTTAATTTTTCCCAGCAGCTCTGTGTTACTGACTTTATTAAGTATTAAAAAGAACTATAGCTGTTATCTCGAAAATCTTATGTAGAATCAGGTACCCTATAACTTGCTTTCAGAGCTGGGGTTATATTTCTGAAAATATGCTCTTATAATTAAAACTTGTAATAAAGCCAAGTGATAGAGTAGGGGAAAATGGAGTGAAGAAAATATGTGTATATATATATATATATATATATATATATATATACACACACACACACATACACACCCACATGTTTGTTATAGAATGTACCAATATTCTGAGGATTACACAATCGATTTAATATAACACATAGGAACTCACAGTGTTTCCTTGTTACTGCAGATAAAAGAGGCAAATGAACACTTGCAAGAGGATGAAGAAGATACAGTTGCAGATTCTGCATTTCAGAGCCATACCATAGGTAAAAATTCATGTCTCAATATGCCTTTCACTGAGATGTTTTCTACGTGCGACCTTATTTCAGACACGGTGTGTTCCTAAAGGTCATGTCTTATGCCCTCTACCAGGACTGGGTCTTAACTTCTCACGCGTGATAACCCTTATCTTCTTAGGCGTTGGAAGCCACCATAAAATAAGTGGCTCAAAGCAGAACCTATGAAGAAAACGTAGGTATTTGCAAAGGAACGCAATGCCAACTGATAAGTGAGTCCTTGTCAATATGAAACGAAAATGATACTGAGTGTAAATAATTTCTCTCTGCGGAAAAAATCAACGTTGAATTGATCCAGTTTCTGTAACTGTCTCAGGGAGCACTACCATTGGTTAGAAGTGTGGAGTGTTAGCTTTCTTATACTGAATATTTTTTAAATTGGATATGTTTTACACATAGAACTAAACAGATTAAGTATATACGGCTTGCCAAATTCACCTCATTTTCTTCATCGTTTCTGTTAGAACCCTGATTATAGGTAGTCCTTTCTCAGAGATACGTTTGCTTTGTCAGCTCTGTCCTAAAATTTTACATGAGCCCACGTTGAAGGAACTCAGGTTTCTAACACAAAGGGATTTTGCTTACCTGTTTCCAGCAGTCAGGAAGTAGCTGGTAATAGAGTAGCTGTCTGCGACGGTGGTCCTTGTCAGGAGATAGAAGACGTGATAACTTTAACAGCTCTGGGCCACCGTGGACACTTGCAAAATTAGTTGTTCTTTGGGCTCTAAAAAATAGCTGTGAAATGTAAGCGTGCTGATTATTTAGTTTTACACAAAACATCAAGGCATGAGAGAATCATTTTTTCCAATCACATTTGGGTGTAGTAGACAGTACTGAATACCATCCTCTAGGGCATGACGGCCCTCCAGCTTTCTGGTGGCTGGCATAATCAGTATGCACGGCTCCTGCCCTTTCCCTGGAGTACCTTTAGCTGCCAACTCTCAGTATCTCACCACTCCTAGAGCCATGTTGGTATGTTTTGCGGCTGCCTTTCCAGCTTACCCAGCTGCCTTCTCCCAACTATAATTTACAGTTGATCTCAGAGAGTTATCATACCCTCACAGCTTAATGAGACTGGCACACCATTATTATTCTTTTCTGTTGTAATTGGGAATACAAAAGTCTTAACAAATAGCTGGATGAGTGGAGTCTGAATGAGAGTATTATTCCAGAAAGACATCCTTTAGTACACTTAGTTGTCAGTGATAACTGAGAGTAAAATGTCAGTTGTACAGTTGTCAGTAAAATGCTTAAATTAGTGTCAGTTCTGTGTAGTTAGCTAACGCGCAAGTTAAATATTGTTCAGCAACCTTCAAACGTGGCACTACGTAAAGCCCCACTGAGTCATCATTTTTCCATAATGAGGTATTCTTCGGCTTGTACGATAACATACATAAAGTTAGAGGCTGAATTTTCGAGAGAGAGCTATAGTAATCTGCATTTTTTTTTATAGGCTAGCAGTTCTTTAGATCTGTACTGTTTCACATGATAGCCATTAGTCACATGTAGTTATTTCAGGTTCAGTTTAAATTCATGAAAACTACAGAAAATTAAAAATTCAGTTCCTCAATTGCACTAGCCACATTTTAAGTACTCAGTGGCCACGTATTCTATATGGCCTCTTTTTCCATCATCATACAAAGTTCTGCTGGGAAGTGCTGGTTTAGATTACTCTCAAGGAAGTAAATTTGGACTCTGTTTCTGTTTCACATAATTGTAGATTCATCTCTTCAAACTGGTGGAGACCTATCCGAACAAGCTGCTCCTGGCAGCAAGTAACAACAACAAAACTGACTAGCCATGACTTAAGGAATAAAGTCATTGAGTCATCTTATATAATTAAAAGTCTGGAGGAAGGGAAACATAAAAGAGAAGCAGCAGCTCAACAATTCTATCCGAAACCCTGTTTTTTGGTCCTCATGCTTGTCACTTCTGGTTGCAAATTAATTCCCACCACTCTAGGCATCCCAGCTACATTTGCGACACAAAGTGCAAGGAAAAGTAAAAATTCCTTCAGAATCACCGCCCCGCACCACAGACTTCAGGTTACATGTCATCAGTGAGAACCAGATCATAAAGCCAATCTTAGGTGCAAGGGATGCTGGGAAAGTCAGTATGTTGCTTCCCAGCCTCTACTGCATGAGGTAGCAGAGAGAAGAGGGTTGAAAGTGTTCCCTGAGTTAGCCAATCAGTATTACCACAGGCCTTTTAAAAAGTTCATCCATTTCAAGGCTGAGTGAGACTCAACAAATCGAGTGGCTATTTATCTTTATTGCACAAACATGACTGAAAAAATATTTTTTTAGCACCCTGCGAATCCCAGTGTTCTTCATTTTGCCTAGACTAAGTGTTATCACATATCCTGCCAATATTTATAACCATAGAATATTTCCAATCACAGCAACTGAGCAAATCTAAATATGGTCTTCTTCTAACCAAGCAACAGCTAGTATCTTTGACAAAGAACAACAATCAGAAAAATCTGTGAATCTGAATGTTTGCATTTCTGTGGTTAAGGATAATCGTGTTGGCTTCATCAAAATGGTCTGAGTTGATTACAAGACAGGATGCTGTTAACTAAACCTGCTCTATATTGAAATTCAAGATTCATGAAATAAGTTAAATAATGCAACTAGATTCTTTTCTTTCAAATTGCCCTAACAAATGTCAGACTTTCATGTTAATAAGCAACAAGCAAATGACTAGACTAGCCTACACAAATGATCACCAACACCAATTGTTCTTTCTTGTTATTTAACTGTAATAGATTCACCCAGTGTATTACACTAATTATCTAATAGGATTAAATGGTCAGTAGGAATTCAAATGACATTGTCTCATATTAAAAACATCAGCCAGTGATAGCATCAAAAATAATCTCCTAAGAGGAGACAGGGGATTTGGAAATTCCTTTAAAGAGGAAGAAATGTCTTCTGAGGAGTTTGAGGAAGAAATCAAGCTGAACTAAATGATAACCAAGAAAACAAGGCTGCTTGGTAGACTCTCGTGAAGTGAAGGATGCATGGTATTTCCCCAAATCTAAAGAGTTGTTACCGAATGCAAGTTTGTGTGCCCAAAGCACAGTGAAGGACATTCATAGTAAAAATAAAATTTAAAATATCTCAGAAAGCTAATCAGGCTTTCACAGCTTTTTGAGTGGAAGTCCATTTGAGTCAAAGGTCACCTTTTGAATAACGTGCTGACATATGTGGCTTAATTGTGGAAAGAGTGAGCTACTGATCATCAAAACAGATGTGAATGGGAAGTACAAATGTTCTCAGTAACGACTCGGATATTCAATAGAGAATGTTCTGGTGACTTGTAACAGACTGGCTCTGAACTGGAAACCACTTAGATAATAATACCTGTGGATGAGGAATCAGATAGAATGGTTTTCCATAATCTGGATCCACATGAATACTTCCCAGGGTGACAATACTTCTGCATGTCCGAATATACAAATGACACCTGAGAGGTACTATAGGGTAATAGCTTGGGCAAGGAAGTTTCTATAGTGGCTGCACTGAGTTCACCCATCTATAACCACAAGCGCCGAACTTCAAAGTGGGGGGGGGGCTTGGCACCTGGCAGCCCAAAATATAAATCCCACCTGTCATGAAGGTAGACCCGTGGAAACAGGACCATGCGGTTCTTTCTGACCAAGGACTGGAACTAGTAATATTAGTTTCCATCCATTGAGTATCTCCTATGTACAAAGCCCTGTGCTTGGAACATTACATGTCATCCTTCTTGTGTCTCACTCCCTTGCGGCTGGTTCTCTGTTTTCGTCATCTGTCAGCTTGTTCCTTAAGAGTGCTTCCTTCTAAATACCAGAGGCAGGCATGAGATAAGGCTTTGGTGGAGATTTCCATATTTGTCAGCATAGTGAATCATAGACTGTGACTCCCTCTCTCTGTTTTTTACTAGAGAGATAGAGAATTGTAGCCTTAGAGAGTTGCAAGTATGGCTTTTTTACTCCTGTAAAATATTTGCTCTGTAGATTGCACCAAGGAGCTGAGTTCTCTTTAGTTCAACAAGCCTATATGGAGCATCTTCTCCCAGCCATGCCCTGTTTTAGAAGCCAAAGATACAGAGATGAATAAGACACAGTACGCATATTCTGTGAACTCCAGTTCAGTGGGGAAACAGAGAAGCAAACAAATAATTCTGATGCCGTGTAATCACAGATAACTTAGAGGCATACTCTCCATACATATGAGCACACAGGGCAGGGTGTGGAGCCCACCTTTGGTGAATCCAGAAGTGTTGATGTTCATGAACAGGAAAAGACAAGAGTGAGACAGCGAGGTACTGAAGTTTAAGAGTGTTTGCAATTTATGCCAGTGGCTCCCAAACTCTGCAACACATCAGAATCCTCCGGGAAGGCTCTAAAAATGCTGATGCCCAGGTCACACCCCGTAACAATTAAATCACAAGGTCTAGGGAGTGGAGCCACGCATTAGTAGTCTGTAAAGATCCCCAGGTGATTCCAATGTGCAGCAAAGTTTGGGAACCACTTTCCTAAGGGGTAGGATTTCATCAGCAAAGGGGGCAGAGATTTCCTTCAACTCAAGGTAAGCAGCGTAATCAGAGACCTGGAGATAGGAATACGGCACACTGTAGGGAAGGGGGTCAGCAGAGGACCAGCCTGGCTAGAGCAGAGGGTAAGCTTTGAGGACGAGGTACAGACAGAGGGGCTTTGTGGGATGGGACCGGATTGTGGAGACCTTGAAAGCCAAGCTTAGGTGTTCGAACTTAATCCTACAGACAATACATAGACAGTGGAAAATTGTTTGAAAAGACCAACACGCTAAGAAATGGCCATCCAATCACTATGATGCTCATGCTTAGACTTTTAAAATAAAAACATATTTTCATTTTCTCTCCTTTAGCCTTGGACCAACCAGATGCACTAGTCACCATACTGTTTCCTCACAAGTGGTGTGCCATGATGAGTAGAGTCACGCATT